TATCCTTAGGACAGCACACATTGGCCCTAAAATATTCCATTGCTTGGTAGAAATCTGGTTCAGAATGGAAATTAATTTCTGAAAAGAAAACAGTATTTATTTTCCAATGACAGAGCACATAAAGGAGCTTTTATAATAGAAAATAGAGATAGATGTGTAATTTGTGAACTAGAGTATTTTAAACGTAGATGCACTTTCTAAGACTTCTTGGGGAAAAAATACACAAGGTATTAATGCTTTTGAGAAGAAGTTATGTTGCACATTAGTAACACCTCTCGTGAGTTACTGTAGAAATACAGAGGAGTGATTTCACCCCGTCCTCTCATCTGCCTAATTAAAGAAATGTGTGTTAGTGGATGATGATGAAACAGTTAAACCATCACATTTAAATTGTTACTGGTCCTAAATAACATAAGACAAATATAGGAAATTACGCTTTTGGCTTTAAAAATGAAGCATATGAAAAAATGTTTTTATTGTTAGAACTACTCAGAAGTTGTAATATAGAGAATACACAGGTTCATTACAAGCTGAATTTCCAAATGTGTCTTAGGGTATGGTTTGAAGTGTAAGTTGCATCAGTGTGACCAGGTTTCCTGGTTAACTGGGGTGACTGATAGCGGAACAGGAGACTCTTTCCCAAATTCAGACTTCCTTCTCACACTGTTGTAAGAGAGAATGGGATGTGGAAAGAGCATGTCTGGGCACACCCACGTGGTTGCTAATAAAGAGACATGGAACCTTCCAAGGTAATGACTGGATTTCTTGTTTCTTGTCTGTGAGAGGATAAAGAAGATCAGCCCTCCATTAGTTTGTAGCCAAAACTGTAAGTGCTGGCAACACTAAAAGTCAACCTTAGCCTTTTTTTCTGGCAGTAAATAAATGGTGAGGTATATGAATTAATTTCTAGCCAACACTTTAAACTTGTCCTAAAGTTGGCTGTAGGCAAAAAATGTTGCAGAGCAGGGCTTACAGTGACCACTTCCAGTGATTCCTAAGAACAGGAACACTTTGATGTTTTGTGTTGCACTAGAAACCAGTTTGAGTCTTCACCATGATGCTGGTCACAAATTGAGCACAGCTGTGTGGATCCATCCATGTGACACATTTCAGTGGGCACTGAAAACAACAAAGGCTGGTTTCCCATGGAGGTGTCTTAGGGCAATAGGCTTTTTTCTTTTAAAATTCATTAGACCAAAATAGAAACTAAAGGCAGGAGAGCCACTTTGACCTAGGAATATATTCTTTGGTGGCTAATAAGCTCTGATTAAGATTTTATTGCTTTAGAGCATTTGCAGCATCCTGCTCTTATGTGGTTTCTTTGTCTAATAAAAGATGAGCTCACACTGCAGGCTTTTTCCTCAATAGGGAAATAATAAGGTATCTCAGAGCTACAAAACTGCCTATTCCCACAAAACTAGTTGGAAGTGGCTGTGCTTGAGACCTTGCTCCCATTGGTAATGCATATGGGGGAAAAAGATTGTCAATATAGGTATGCTCTTAGCTACAAAAATGGGGGCTACCCAGGCAAAAAACTAAATGATGCAAGGTCTTATTCTGGTCTTAAGGACAATCTGATTGGCAGCTTTTCCCTCTCCTGTGTAATGGATTTTATGTCCTGTAGCAAAATCTTTCCTGTGTAAGTATTTTATTGAGAATTAGTCCGAGACAGTCAAAATGGAAACAGTCACGAGCCTCTCCTTTGCCAGCTGTATTTGACCTGGTCTCCTGTAACAGCACTCTCCTTGGGCTGTGTGTTTGTGTGAAACAGCAGAGATGGTGCTCTCTTTGGAGTCATCCTAAAAGAGCATCTGTGGCTGTGTGCCCAGGGAGCAGGGGTTACACTGCCAGCTAAATGGCTTTGGACAAGGAGGGGGGACAATCCCCTGGGAGCAATGGCTGTGTGAGCCTTCAGGTGATTTGGACAGGAGCTGCCTGACCTCAGCGTGTTGTCTCCACTTCCCTGCTGCAGAATCTCCTCCAGGTGCAGAGGGCCTGCAGGAGAGGTGATTTTGGGGACCTTTCTCTCAGTAGCATAGCAACTGCCACCACTTCCCCCTGCTCTGTCCCCTCTGCTTGGCTCCCTCAGCCATGAGGGATCAGGAACTGAACCAACTTTACAAACAGCCCTGTAAAACAGGAGAAGCTGTAGGAGGATCTATTTTTAACTGGGATCTCTGTCGTCTGAACCACCTCTCTGCGGGGTCCTCAGGGCTGATACGACTAGGGAGTGCTTGGAGCAAGAGTGAGACAACAGGTGGGGAAGAGAAAGGGAGGGGAGGAGAAAGGTCTGCTGTTCCCTGCCTTTGGGATTCAAGCACAAATTCAGGGGCAGCCCTGCAAACACTTCCAGCCCAAGTGCTGGAAGTGAGCACAGCTTCAGTAATGACCTGCCATCAGAGGGATAATCAGAAATTAGTATGAAAGTTCTTTCAGTTTCACTCTGTTCACTAGAGGGGAAAGGGAAAAGTGAAACTGAAGCAAGGGGATGGTGTTTTCTTTAAAATTTTTGTGCTCTGTCTGCCTCTGGTGATTCAAGACACTGACCTGCAGCATCTTCAGCCAGCACAGAGGCCAGCGAGGGTTGTGCTTCTATGACAACAGCCCCACGTTCTGGACAAGTATCATTTGATCTTATTCTCTGTGTTGTGCTTCTAACAAAGCTGCTCAAGCTGGCCACATTCTGTAATTGCTTTTTCAGCTGAGATCTGAAAGTCACATTTGTAGCTAGGTACAATTCTGATTAGAGCAATCTAGGAGGGTTAATAGAGGCAGCAGTGCTTCAGTTACAGGATCAGCTTGGAGTGTGTGGATGGGTTCTGGGCAGGCAGGGGTAGAAAGAAGATACTGATTCCTGTATGATGAGTACAATACCTTTGTTAAAGGTCTGCCTCTGCATCTGTGAAAGACCAGGCTTCAGGTGATGAGGGTTTCTCACTATTTTGAGCCTGTGTGAGTGGAATGGAGAAGTAGAGATTTTATTTTTGTTTTCTTTAGCAAGTGCACAAGTACTGTCAAAGGTATTTGTAGAGATTATAATGTGTATGGGGAAGATAAATTACTTAAATAGAAAATTTTCTGTCGTGTGGTGATGGTACAAAACAACTAATCACCTGATTCATAATTTTTGCAGGAGATTTCTAAGGATAAGAAGGCAGTAAGTGCATTGGCCTGAGTGTCTGAATGGAAGTTAGTCAGATGTTGAATTCTTCCTTTTAGAAATTCCTGCTATGAACCACAACACATGGGTAGAAGAGCTGTTTTCTGATACACTGATGAGAAGAAAATTTGTGCATGTGTTTTCTGGAGTGCTTGCAAAGGACTGTAGACTGACTGAAGAGCAGCTGAAGTTCAGAAGAGAGTGTATCGGAATTATGCTGTATCCTACTGAGAAATACTTTTGGGAAGATTTTAATGCATTCCGTGCAGCTGTTCACTATTGAGCTACTGATAAATTTCTTCAGAAACTGCCCTTGTGAATGCAGTCTGAACGAAATGTCTGCTGCACCAGCCCTTTTCTGTGTGAGAAAGTTGCATATGTTTAATCTGAGATAAACCGTTGTGCATATTGTACTGAAGTTTAAACCAGCTTTTGGCTCATTTCCCCACTGCTGGAAATTTAAGTGAAATTATCATCCCTGTTTAAACTGCCTTGGGATAGCATTTTGGTTTAGAGTTGTGAATTTTGAACTGTTTGTTTTGGTTTTGTTTGGGTTTGTGGCATGTTGTTGTTGCTGTTTTTTTTATTGAATGGGTGAAGTCCTGTGTGCAGGTGAGACTTGCCTAAGAAGGAAGGCATTTGAGCACATGCTGAGAGTAGATATTGGAGTGAGTTTAGTTCCCAAAGGTGCCTGTGAATTTGAGTTGAGGAGAAAATTAACTTCTGTGGGTGCTGGGTGAAATAGAGACTTCTGTCACTGCTCAGTGCCTTCTGACTGCACACAAGTAGCCCAGGCCCTGGTTTGCATAAGTAACTGCTAATTAAACCTGTGCTGTCGTTTCTCCAATTTGCCAACCCTGTGTCTTGTTATAAGGAGCCAAGACCTTTGCTTATTTGATGTGTGGTAGTTTCAAACAGCATGAGAGATTAAAAGTGTGGTATATCTGTTAAAAGGTAAAGTTTCTTTTTCCTCCTCTGTAATAATTTGGTTTGTGTGGTTGTGTTCTTACAACCAGAGGTGAAAAGTCAGAGTCTTACCTCTTCCCACCAGCTGTCTGAGCTGCACACATTAGAGCAGCCAGGGCTGCTCATGGCCCTTAATGATTCGTATTCTGCTGTTGGATTTTTTGTTTCTGAATCTAAAAGGGATAATTTATCCATTCTAAATGCTGTCTATACCCCTATTGGAGCCCTCACATTTTATACAGTCTTTATTCCAATTGCAGTCTTAGGAGTAGATAGAGGTTGGATGCATTCAAAGTTTGCAGCTGAAATTCCTGTTTTTTCATCTTTTTCTATTTCCTTTTTTTTTTCTTCTGTAAATGTTGAGGAGGGAACTTTTGTAAGGATAAAATGGTGGTGGTGCATGCACTAGAAATGCGGATTTTCCATAGAAGTAGTAAAAACAATTATTTAGGTTTATTTACCTTGCAGGCTGCTTGATGAATTGCATGGTTGGATGCACTGTCAAAGATTTTAGTTCTTGGTTGCAGTTTATTGGAGCAACAGAAGTGGCACCCTGCCACTGGAGTAAAGAATGCTGTTTCCCCATGAGTATTTGAACAATCTGCAGTAGCCATCTGTTATTCTCTTAAATACAAAGCAGTGCAACAGGTGTATTTCTTGGGTTTGGAAGTCTTACCAGCACAAGTGAACACTAAACAGGATTAAAGCCAGAATTTAAAAGAAGATTTCAAAGTGCTCCTCTTTATTCAGCAGATATGGTGGTTATGACATTAGAAAGTGGAGAGATAACCTAAACATATGGTACAGAGTTAAGGAAAACAAATGCTGAACTGCTCTTAAATCTGTTCTTTTTCCATGTTTGTCATTTTCTTAGATGGCTTCAGTAACAGATGCCAGATTCAGGCAGAAAGATACTTCAGACCAAAATTTTGATTACATGTTCAAGCTCCTGATCATTGGCAACAGCAGTGTGGGTAAAACATCCTTCCTCTTCAGATATGCCGACGACACCTTCACTCCAGCCTTTGTGAGCACAGTGGGAATCGACTTCAAGGTGAAAACAGTTTACAGGAATGACAAGAGGGTGAAGCTGCAGATTTGGGTAAGTGCCAGCATTTTCAAAGATGCTTTATATTAATCCCAGCAAAGCTGTGATGGTAAAATGTGGCTCGTTTGGAAGTGGATTTTTGGGTTGGTGTAGATTTTGGTTGTTCATAAGTTGTGTGTGGCTGGACCTTTGTGTCCCTGCAGTAAAGTGAGGGAGTTCTCTTTGTGTCTGTCTCACTCGGGGTCCTGATGTGGTCTAAGGAGCTTTTCTACATTTGAGTGAACTTTACACACAACTCATACTATCATTTTACAGCCTCTACATAAGATACTTGTATCTTCCTGTAACTCATGTACCTGCTCAGCAGCCCATTTCTACCCAATTTCTACCCCATCTAAGAACCTAATCTTCTAATTGATCTACATATACCTGATTTGTAGTTCTTTAATAATTGCATTTAAATGTCAAACTACAGTAATCACATCTGGTTTTTTTATTTATTGTGGTGATCTTGAATAGTGAGAATCTAAAATGAGGTGCTTTTTTTTTTTTTTGTACTACAACTACACGATTCATTTTATTTCTGTGTTGCTGGGTACAATGTAAAACAAATAATTTAATAAAAGATCCTTTTCATGCTGTAAAACCCTGACGTTGAAACTAAGGTAGGCCACCTGATACGAAATTGATTGATTTAATTTAGGGTTTTGGCAATAAAAATGTTTTTACTTCAGGCCCTATAAGCAGCTAAAGATGATTTCCATTTAGTTGGTCTTTCTGAATTTTGGAATGTGAAATTTTCTAAGAAACTGTGTAAAAGCAAGACAGAAAACACCATAAGATGTTAGAGTTTTTTCAAAGATACTGTGATTAAAGTGAATTAAGCAATAATCTTAATTAAATCTGTTAAAGGGCTTTGGGGCAAAAAGGGCTTTAATAACCTTAAACTTCTTATGAAAAGAGATGTCTGGTGAATTCCTCAGGGGGTGCAATCCATAGGACCTGTAATATTGGTCAACAGCACTGTTGATTTAACATTTATTTTTTTAAAAAAGATACACCTAAGTGTTGGACAGTTTCCAGAGTAACTTGTGTTCTGTTCCTCTCTCTTTTTGCATGGATCTCTGACATGACTTATAATTCAAAGACCTTAACAAAACACTACGTGCCTCTGTCAAAACCACAGTATTTGAACTTGTTTGTCTCCTGCCTGCCCTGAGATCATATTTGTCATTCAATTCAGGGTACATGAAGTAATAGTGGGGTCCATTAGCAAACCAAAACTATGGGTTCCTATGTGTGGGAAGAAAGAGTTTTCATACCAACCTGTCTTACAGTTACTTTTTAAAACTATTTACAGCTGCTCTTGAGTTTCTGGGAGTGTGGGACTCTGTGGCTCCATTGAACCCTTTGCTCTGACTGACAATTTTCCAGTTATGTTGACTTTTTTTTTCAATTATGCTCTCCCTAAGCTTGGCATTAAGCCTTATCTGAATCAGATTTAATGTGAAATTAAGTGAAGGAGAAGGTACAAGTGTTTGACTTCACCACTTCAAATATATTTCTAAAACCCAGAGAAAAGCACTTCTAGGAACCTCTGATGTTCTCTTCTCCACAGACCCAGGGTTTTTTCAGTTCAGGGGTGCTTGTGGAGCTCTGAAGTGAGCGCAGCTGTGAGAGACTGGAGGTGCTCAAGGGCTGTGCCCAATTACCTCATTCTGTGCTCTGCAAGTCTCAAGGTGAGAGGGAAGTTATTACTGCTGCACTGTGATCCAGAGAGATGCGTGATCAGTGGGGCTTTCTTTACACTGCCTGTTGTCTATGTTGAACAGAAGAACAGAATTTGGGTGCAGGACCCAAATTCTTGTATTGTCTTAGAGCTCAGCAAAGCTCACGCTGCTTCAAGGGCCGAGCAGCTGCACGGAAAGGCTGGCAGCTGTGGCAGTAAATGTCTCTCTGGCCTGACTCCTGGTTTTGTTTCTCCAGCAGAAGTTGATGAGCATTTTAAAGCCAGAGATCTTGCATTTGTGTTTGTGCTGAGTTTGAGGAAGTCTGTATTTTGTGAATCAGGATTTGACAAGCTGTCACATGGAATGATCAGAAGAGAGTGCTCCTCTGTTTGATTTTGGTGTCATTAGTGGGCCTCTTGCTTTGTTGACATTAACGCCTCAATCACCCAAATTGATATTTTAATAATCAGTTGTACTTGTGGCTAAGCAGTCTGGGAACTGATCTGCTTTGAAAAGACTTGAAAGGAATATCTCTTTAGCTTGAGAGGAACAGGACATAGCAGAGATATTCATGATGTTTTTAAGGTAGAATGGCAGCACTGCTGCTGCACATGGAAACAGTAAAATCGTTCAGAGAGGGGTTTATGAAATAATGTTTTGTTGTCTTTTTTTCCCTTTCTTTAAAGAACTCCAAGATCAGTGGATTGTGTTTTAATTTCAAATCTTTTCAGTCTTGTTTAGGAATGGTGGTGTTGTGCTAATGGAATAAATTCACTTTATTGAGAACATTTGTTTTGTAGTTGGATGAGGCTTTGTTTTGTAGTTGAATCAGGCTTAGTAATTTAATATCTATTTTAAAACATTTATTACATAAGTATATTCATCTGTTATATAGATATTTACATATCTACATAAATGTAATTCTTGGATTAGATTTTTTTTAATGCCACTGCCATCTGTAATAATACTTTTATAAAAAGCATATTCCTTATGATTGGGTTGTAAGGACCCAATTTATAATATCTCTCTTCATTTCTTGACCAATTTTGTATTCCCATAGTTGCTAATTACTGTTTACTGCAGGAAAATATAATAATTTTCATCTAGGTATGCTTTTTTATTATAAATAAATCTCAAAGGTAACATTATTATATTCTTAGCAAATGCAAACGGTTAATGCAGAGTTCAGGTTGCCTAGCAGCTGGAGAGGGCCACTTTGTCCAGATCCAGATGGAAGCAGGGTGAATGAATAAAAGTGATTTCAGTTTTAGGTAAGAGCAAGGTGAGATTTCTTTTTCTGCCTTCTGTGCGTTTGTGTGTCTATTGCTGGTGACGAATAATGGTGGTGAAAATGACAGCAGAACTCCTGAGCACCGTGGCATCGAGAGGAGCTGCTGAGGGGCAGCCTCTGGCCCTGGTGCTGGCCCAGTCTGGGTTCAGTACATGCACAGTCACATAAATTAACTGATAGAAGGTCATTGGCAGGGCTCAGCCCCAAACAACCCAATACATACTTTGTGTGAGGAATTTGATTATATTTCCATTATATTTTTGTGCAGCACCTTACACAAAGGACTCTCAACATTGATGTGATTAATAATAAACATAACTAAATACAGGGTTTGGCAGCTGATGTTACAGTTTAAACTGCTTTCAACCCCCTTTGTAAAAAGCAGCAGAGATTAAATTTAACTTCAGGTTAAAAGGCAGGCAGTGATGCTCAGAGGCAGCATATTTAGACTGCAGTAAGATTTTTAAGGAGCTGTTTATCAGAATTAAACTGCTAGGATGAAGGTTTTTCCTTCTCATTAACAAAAATGTCTCTGTGGCTTAGCTGCTGAAACCTGTTGGGGTGTGAGATTAGCTTTAGTGGATGTCTGAAGCACGTGTTACAGCTCTCAGGCACAGCTGGGGAGAGGGCACAAAGCAACATTGCTCTGGGCTTTTTGGATCTTTAAAAACAGAAATATGACAACCACTAATTATACTGAGTGGCAGTTACCACTACAGAACAGAAAAGTGTAAACCAAAATAACCCCCCTGCTGTGTAGCTGTCCAGAAGGCAAATACACAATGTTTTTAACAGCTTTTTGTATCAGGCATTGCCTGGATGACAGGATCATCTTGTGCAGCTTGCCTCTTAGGGAAGGGATTCAAAGCAGTAACACTGGCAACTGAGTTCTTTTTCCTTTCTTTTTTTTTTTTTTTTTTTCAGTTACAGGAGGTAAAATTAGAACTCCATCATATTTGATTGTAAATTTTAATGTTAATTGCACACTTAACCAAAAGCTAATTATGCATTTCAGATGAGAGAGTCATCTATTCCCAAGGCATCCTATTCCTGTCAAGGTTTTGCTAAGTTCCTTGCAAGCACTGACTGCAGGCTTGAATGCTTGCACAAAACTTCTTTCTAAAAAAAGAGATAATAAGGTTCAGTAATTAAATGTATAGATGTGATAGTGATGGGTGTCTCTAAAGCACTAATGGGCCGGATTCTGCTTTTCTAGACTCACAGTTTTTGTGAAATCCTCTGATTTGCTGTTTAGATGGAGAACTAAAATGGAGAAACTCATGATAGTGAGAAGATCAGGTTGATCCTTGTAAGGGAGTCAAGGATTACATTTTATTTGCAGCATTAAGGATTTACTGGGTCCCAGGAATGAAAATCATTGTGGGTGAGTGGATGTAAAGCACTACTTCTCATGCTAAAATACAATGCAGAATATTTGACTGGAGAAGAGATGCAATAACAGTGTCTGTAATTCAATTCCAAGGTCTTGGTTATATCTCAAGTAATAATACTTCTGCTTTGAGAAGAACTTGGTGCTCATGCCTCTCTGAATGGTTTCAAGATTAGAGTTGCAAGGGTGATACAAAGGAGAGAAATAAAAACTTGACAAATAAGACCCTTGACAAATAAGACAACGTGACTGATGGGTCAGTTACCCAATTCACTATTGAATTTATTGAACAGCCTAAGCTTGCTCAGCGGGGCATTGCTGTGTTTGCAGTCAAACAGTTGACATGGAGGGTTTATTTCTGTTTATAGTTAATCACCTCAATCTCATTGTTATCTCATTATAACTCTGCATTACAGTGAAGGCCAAATTCAACTTCAGTCTAAGCTCTGATACCACTGCAGTTATCCCTGCTGACAATACTGGATTTGTTCTCACTGCAGGTGTAGTATCTCTCTTTGTGCTCCATCTTTGCAGAGTTACTGTGCTCTTGGAAGCCTTGTTTTGTACATTTCAGTAAAATGAAACATGTTCAGAGGTACCAGGCTGTGTACAGGCTGTCGTGTGTGTTTGTTGATAAGGAGCT